GCCCACCAAAGGAAAAAAAAATGATAAATTGGACTTGATCAAAATTAAAACCTTTGTTCTTCAAAAAGCACCATTAGGAAAATGGAGATGAGCCATATACTGAGAGAAAATATTTTCAAATCATATATTTTACATTCAATAACAAAATAATTTATAAAGTACCTCTGAAAAAAATATAAAGTCTTCATGAAGAAAAAATTTTACTAAAGATTCAAGTAATTGGAAAGAAAAAAATACGTGTTCTTGATGACAAGACAATAGTTTAAAGAAGCAAATTATACAAAAAAATTAATCAATAAATTTAGTGCTCCTAATCAATAAGCCAAAAGAAATTGCGGAAGAAGTTTGACAGTATATTCTAAAGTTCCCCTGTAAGTGTAAACAAGTTAAAGTAGCCAATACATTTTTTAAAAGGAAAAATAATTGGATAGACTTACCTTATTATATTACAAAAGATTTTGTTATACATCTGAGCTACCTGTAGTAGTTTAAGATTAGTGTGGTATCTCCCTTATTGCTGTAATTTGATGTGATGGCATTATCCATCCATGCTGAAGTCCAAAGATGCTGCTGCTGCTGCCCCTACCATCTGTCAAAGGCCTTGGTAGTAGTGCCTGCTGGTATAGTCCCATGGCTGCTGACACTCCTTGTTTCTCAAAGAGCTTGGGTCTGCACAAAAGGTGCACTCACTTTATAGCTAAAGTCACAGGTGACCTGACTCACCCTCATCAATTCTAGCATCATTGTTTTGCTTTGTTTTACAACAGTCCTTATAGGACTTAGCAGCCAGGACTGTGCTATAGTGAGACTCACTTACCAACCTCTGAAACTATCCCACTGTCCTGGAATCACATGAATGCACCTTAATACTTTTCATATAGGATATGTCTTTCCTTGCAGTCTCTTTGATCCTGCCAGTCCTGCCTCATCTTGAATGGTGAGTGGTCTGTCTACACGTGCCTGAGTGCTAGCAAGAACTCAGCTGAGACTCAAACCCTGACCGCTACAACAAACAAGTTTGTTTTGTTTCCCACAAACCATTTCACTATCTTCTCTTTTCTGTATACAACTCCTATTTCCAACCTAAGTCTTTGTCATTCTTTGTAATATAATTTGGTTTGGGGACTTGACCTCTTTCACAGCTAAGGGAAATGTAGACAATGCTGATGAAAGACAAGTTAAGACCTGAAGTGGTAGTGCAGTTTTTGCCTTCTTGGGACCATGTTCTTACTATGCATATTTAACAGCTACTTCACTAATTCCTAGTATGCGTTTAGACAAAAAATTGGTGGATTTAATACACTGGTTTCTGTAGTTGGAATATCATAAATTAACACTTCAGGCTTTTTAAAGTTTCTGTACACTTTATATTTTCAATAAAACTCACCACCCTATTGGCAATGATTTTGTTTGGACTATTCTATTTCTTTAATAGCATATAAATCCAATTACATCAAAATTTAGTATGATCATTTCTCACTGATGGCAAGTCTTTATTTTATAATTCCTACCAGTAAAAACATAGTTTCAAATCCACATAAGAAGATATCATCTTTTTTTCCTATTTATTTTTTATTAAGACTCCCCTTCTGCACTAGGGAAATGAAGAAAGATTTTAGGTGGATTAGAGACAAACAAAAACAATTCAATGATGTGAAACAAAAGCTAAAAGAAAATAAATAATAAAAGTTAACATAAAATGGAATATTTGAGAGTAAGGGGCATTTACAAACGTGGATAATAAAATGGCTCCTTTATAAGAATAAGAGATGAATTACAAATTTAGATATAGATACATAGTTTGATACAGCCATGAAATAGATAGATGCATTTCCTTGAATGAATTTTTAAAGTATCATACCCTATTTGTTTAATTATTTTAAAAAGTACATGTACATGTGCAATACAGTACAAAGGGGTAACCAGTGCACATTGTCTCCACATCTTTCCTATCTCCCATCCCGAGTCTACAGTAGCTACTGGTTTCCTATGCATCCTTCCAGCGATAGATGGTATAGCTATAGGAATGTTAATAACATTCTTTTTATTGAGAAATCTCAGCCTCTAAGATGTATATGTAGAAAATGGTTCTGTTTTTCCCTGTAACTGCTGCCACCATGCTCTGCCCTTCTTCTCTACTAACTCCCTCATTCCTCCTTTCCCTGCTAGGTAGCTACCTCACTTATTGACCATTCTAAGTCTGATTCCATAAATTTTCCATTTCTTTTGGTTATTAAAACAGTTTCACTATTATTATTAATGCTGAATTCTGTTTATTTACAATCTTTGACTTCATAATTTGTTCAAAGTTCTTCCTGATCTCCAGGGCAGGTAAGGTTTTTGGTTTTAGGGTAGACACAGTATAGCTTGGTGCTTAGACCAGCAGCTCTGCAGCTAGACTCCATGAGTTTATATCCTGGCTCTGCCACTTGGTAGCTATGTAACCACTGAGCAGGGCACCCGCTGTCTCTGTTTCATTTGCAAAGTAGTACTTACTCCATAAGGCTGTTGTGAGGATTAAATAAGTTATTCATTTAAAGCACTCAGAGCATGCCTACCATGTTATAAGTGCTATGTAAGTTTTAGATATCTTTACTGTTTTGGAATGGGGAAGGGAGTTGCCTAACATGCACTTTTCTGTCCCTATGCCCTTTCTCATCTTTTCTGTCTTTATTTTCCAGGGGTTGTGGCTGAGGAATTGTGAACACTATTTTCCTTTTTTTGTATGTTCATGGCATGACTTATCGTCCTCTTCCTGTTGGTCTTTACTTCTGACCCAGCAGGTGATGGCCCCAATGTACCTGCTTATGAGGAACTCAATCCCCTATAGCAGTGTCACTCTCAAGGCCCAACTACATGGTCTGGAAGATCCTCAATCTTTTGTAAACTTTTGAAGCACAAGTCTACTTGACCCATGTGCTGGGGTTCCCAATAGCCATCAACTCCCAGTTATATCCTTCAACTCAGATGGCCTGCTATTATTTATAATGAGTCTCTGTGTTTCATCACCTATTAATATAATTCTGTTGGAGCAATACCACTCTTTTGATTCAATAAGTCACCACAGTTTTGAACTTTTTAGCAAAGCTCAAAGGAACTTTCATGACTGGGTCTGCACCTACCCTCTATTCACAATTTCTACCACTTCTCCTCAAACAGTCTTTATCCTAGATGTACCTGTTGTCATAGGTAGATGCTGTAGGACACTGTTTGGACTACCCCTCCTCACTACAAGACTGAAACACTCTTTTCCCATCTGCTGGGAATGTTAGCGGCTAAGAGCTCTCAGATGAGCAGTCTCTGAGAAATCCCTTGGCCAAAGAGGCCCCTAGTCTGAGATCATGTTCCCTTGCTGAGGGCAACCTACGTCTGATGATTGGTTGATGTGGGGGAACAAAGACAAGTTCCCCTCTCCTCAAAGAGAGTCAACTCTGAAAGCCCATCGTAGTTCCAGAGCTCCCAATTAGGAGTAGCTGAAACCTGTTTGCAGCTGAATTACAGTTCAACTCCTCCCCGTACTCAATCTTGCTTCCTCTACTTTGCTTCCACCCCTCATCCACTAGTATAGATTCCAAGAACATATCCAGTAAACTCCCTGGTTGCAAATCACCATGTTAGAGTCTGCTTCTTGGGGAATCACACCTACAGTCTACAATTCTACAAATGTATGTTGCTTTTTTCCCCTTGCCTTTACAAGTGCCATTTCCTATTCTTGGAATGTACCTCACCTTCATCTAGGTACTCCACTCATCCTTCAAAGTCCAGCTCAAGTCTTCTCTGATCCAAAGTCACATTTGAAGTCTCCACCAAGTATGCTTCTATCATTTTCTGCCTACTGTAATTTCATCATAATTTATGGAAATTTCTAATTACTGACTTAAAAAAAAAATTTCTCTCCCATTAGACTAAAAGCACTTTGAGGCTAGTGTTTGAGTTTTATTCTATTTGCATCTCAAAAGGAGAGCATAATAGTCAACACATAGTTGATGCTCAATATATATGTATTGAATAAATGAATGAATGAGTGATTGAGCGAGTTAAGTGCTAAACTGTATGTTTCTGACTCTAAGGGCTGTACAAATGGGAAAGGGTCAAAACTGGTCTGTTTACTAGAATGTGGTTTTATTGACAACTGTCCCAATGTCATGACTGGCAAAAAATCAATTTTCCATCAACTATTATCAATATTTTACTTTAATTATCAGTGACTTTGACCTAGGGATCATGAAGGAACAGTCTATAAAAGTTTTAATGTCCACCCTGGCCCATTCTTTTTTCTAAGGGTAAAAGATTATGTAAGTTCTTATGGTAGCCCTTCCCTATATCTTCTGTTATAATAATTTGAACATGGATATTAAAATGGTGGAAGGGTCTATTAGAGATTCAGGGTTTTAGCACAATTTTTAAAAACTGCAGGATAAATACCCATGAAGACAATGCTGTGCTACACACTGCAGACAACACAAAGATAAATAATCACAATCTCTGCCCTCAAGAGATGAAGGACAAGAAATCTGCCAAGGGCCTAGAACACAATGTAAAATAAGATGAATGGAAATGGAAAGATGCACAGTAGAATGGCTCTCAAACATGGAAATGATGCCACGCAGTCAGAGGCTGGGTGGCAGGGGCTGCAGTTTGATGGGAAGGCTATCCACAGTGGTGGTGGACAAGATCATATGAGTGAGGAGACTGCTACAGAGACCATTCGGTAAATGGAGGGTGGGTGGGAAAAACAGTAGGGTGGATAAAACCTTTCATCCCTTTGAACTAGTATTGAAGGTAATTTCCAGGGGCACAGCAGGGTGAGCAAGAACATGACTTTGCAGGAAAGAAGGTAAAAACAGTTTTCAACCAAATTCCTTTTTGTTTTTCCTTCCATGCCACACATGTATTATACTTTAAGCATTAATTATAACATTCTTTTAATGAAGAAAGCGAAGGAGTTATTTTTTCCAAGAGATTTCAGTTCCATTAATGTTTTATAGAATATCACTTACCATCTGGTGCCATTTCACACTGGACTGCAGAATCTTGAGCCTAGTCACTATCCAGAAAGAAGGTGGAGACTAGTTAAAAAGGGAATGAACTTATCCCCAAATTTGAAGCTAGCATGACCTTTGTGGAAAAGCCCAACAAAGACACACACACACACACACACACACACACACACACACTACACAAACTACAGACAAATTTATTTTGAATCTTACTGCACAACACTTAACGAAAAGATTAGCAAACAGAATACAGCAACACATTAAAAGAATAGTGCGCTATTGTAAACATAGAGAATGGTTTGGTAAAAGAGAATCTTTAGTCCAATTTTCAACAGTAATTGCTAAAAAAAGAAAATGTACATGATAATTTTTATTGAGGCCAAATTTCTGACAAGGTTTTAAATCCAATCTTGGTAACAATTCTTAATAAAACAGATATGTATTTAATTTCTTCATGTGATAGATAATAAAGCCAACACCAGGTGCAATAAGGAAATAATTAGAAGAATTTTTAGTGAAGAATAAGACAAAGATGACCATTATTACTACTATCATCTACCATTTCTGGAAGTACCATTCAGTAGTACTAGAAAATATTAATAGAATGGAATGCATGTTTATTAAAATTGGAGAGCAAAAGATAATTTTTATTGAATTATTAACTTCATGGGAAAAATATGAATGCCTTTAAAATTTTTCAATATTATCAGAATGACTTAAGTGGAATTGCAATAATCAAATACTGATATGATTAGTAAAATTGCCTTTTAAAAATATTTAGGACATAGTATATTTTTGTTTGCTTGTTTGGAGGAGGTAGCCCTTTGATAATTATTTTTATTTCTTCCATTTTAATTGCTCTGTTTAGATTTTCTAGAAATTTTTGAATTCCTTTTTTAAATAATACATGTACATGAAATAAACTTTTTATTTTGGAATAATTTTAAATCTACAAGAAAGTTGTAAAGACAGTCTAGAGTATACTCATATATCCTTCAACCAGTTTTTCCCCACTGTTAACTATGGTACATTTTTCAAAACTACGAAATTAACACTGGTACAACTTCATTAACTAAACTGTAAACATCATTTGGATTTCATCTGTTTTTACACTAATGTTCTTTTCCTCTTCCAGATTGCAGTCCAGGATTTCATGTTTCATTTAGTCGGTATGTATCCTTATTCTCTTCTAATCTCTTACAGTGTGGCAATCTTTCCTTGTACATGAACTGGACAGTTTTGAAGAGTACTGGCTAGATATTTTGTAGAATGTACCTCAGTATGAATTTAACTGATTTTTTTCACATTATTAGGTTGGGAATATAGGTTTGGGGATAGAATATCAGAGAGTGAATGACCTCATCATGAGAAAGTACTAGAACTTGAATTTATTTATTAGTGCTGCTATTTTTCTCTTCCTACATTCAAAAATTCAGCTACATCTTTGTATGGGTTGTTTTTTCTTTCTGTCTTCCTGAAATTTATTTTGTTGTTCTTTTTATAATTTCTTGTCTTAGATACTTGATTCAATTATTTTCATTCTTTCTGGTTTATTGTTCTAAGTATTAAAGGGTATAAATTTTTCTCTGCGCACCCCTTTTGCTGCATACTATAGGGTCTGATATGTAGTGTTATCAATATTCTGTAATTTCTTATTAATTTCTTCTTTGACCCAAGAACTAATATAGAAAGTTTCGTTGGCAAATTATAGGTTGTTTTTACTTGTTTGTTTGATACATTTATTGTTAGTTTCTAATACAGAATATTTCTGCCATTTCTACTTTTTGAAATTTATATAGAAACTTCTAGCCTAACATATGGTTACTTTTGTGATGTTCTATGGGCATTAGGGGGAAAAAAAGATGTATTCTTTTTTCTCACAGATGCAGATTGATATATGGGTCTCTCTCTCTCTCTCTCTGTCTCTCATGTCTCTGTCTTTGTTTCTCTCTTTCTGACACAGACACATACACACCACACCTCATATCCTTCTATTATGTCCCAAAGCCTTACGTGGTCTTTTACTCTTTAATGACATGCTGACAGAGGTGAATGAAAGTCTTCTACTATTGATGCTGAAAAAGAGTATTATGTATTAGTACATAAACCAGTAACTTTCCTACAGTTTTGCTGTATCGATTTTGATGTTACTATGATATGTAGTATGTATTATGCTAATTTTTTATTATATGCATCAACTTATCACAAAGTTAATAGTTTTCATAACAAACCATTGATTATCAGTTTCTGTAGGTCAGAAGATTCAGTTTCAGCTTAGTGGTAGTCTCTACTCAGGGTCTCATACAGCTGGAATCAAGGTGTCAGCTGGTAGTGCTATCTTATTTGAGGCTCAGGGTCCTCTCCTAAGGTTATTTAAATTCTTGGCAAAATTCAGTTGTTTGAGGCTGTCAGATTGAGGGCCCATTCTCTTGCTAGCTGCTACTGAGGACATCTCTCCTAGAAGCTGTCTGCAGTTCCTTGCCATATGAACCTTTCCATAGGGCTGTCCCCATCCTCTAGACTCAGATTCCAAGGGCTAAAATGATCAGGTCAGGGCCACTCGGATAATCTCCCTTTTAGTTCAGAGACAATAGATTGATAACCTTAACAAGAGCTGTAAAATCCCTTTTGCCATGTATGTAACATAATTCTGAGATTGATTTTTCATACTATTCAGAATTTCAGCCTATACCCATTCTTAATATTTCAGCTTCAAGGGGGGGAGTTAGATAAGGGGACAAGAATAAGCACTACCATTGGGCTTGAGACTCTGTCCCCAGGGTCCACTGCTGCTGCCAAGTCTGTGGCTCTACCTCCTGAGGCTCCAATGCTGTCCCCAGGACCCAAGGATCCATCCCAGTGGTTCCAGTGATCCCACCAGGCCCGCAACTCTGACCCTGAGATTCCAGGGCTGCACCTGGGCCCCAAGACTCCACCCCCAAGTCTCCACCACTGTCACTGGGCCTGTGAAACTTCCTGAGGTCCAGCGATCCCAAAGGCACCCTCTAGCCTTGAGCTGCCATAATACCTGGACCTGGTTTGAACAAAACCCTACAGCCCAGACACCGCTTACCACTGCCTAGATAGCCTCACACAGCTGCCCCTGTCACCTCCACGGGGAGACCCCAGACAGAGCAATCCCCCCACAATACCAGCCTCTGTGGAGAAGGTCTTACCTAACCCCCAACTCAACCACCCTACATGAAGGTCATCCAACACCAGCTTGAACTTAGCAATCACAGGAGAATGGGTATCTATAGTTTTTTTCTCTTAATAGAACAAAAATACTGAGAAAATTAGGGTTAATAGGACTGTCACTTACCTGTTTGTCACTTCTCTGCAATCATTGATGAGACAAAGTGGTGAAGAGAAACTCTAGTATATTATCTCTTAACCAAAGGCAAAACACTTTGGATAGGTATCAACCAAGGGAATCATTTGAAATGTTGCCACTTGTCATGGCAACCATATATTTCAAAGATTCCATTCTGGAATGCATGTGGCACCTGGCTAGAATGTACACTGGCATGTCCATTGCTTGCTAATGCTCACCTGTCACTATTGAGAAGGGGAAGTTTCTATGTCACCAGCACTGAAAGGTAGTTCTGCAAATCAACAGTGCAATAGAATCTGGGCAAAAGAGTTGAATAAAAAGTTCACAGAAGAGAAAAATTGAATTACCAATAAATATATAAAAAGATGTTAGTTTTGTTTAAAGTCATAAAAATACAAAGCAATAAAATAAAATCTAGAAAACAAATAAAAATAAAAATTTGATAATTTCAAATATTGGCAAGGATAAAAAGGAACCTGACCTTTATTACACTACTGGTAGAATTATAAATGAATATAACTAGTTTATAAAGCAATTTGTCAAGTCCTAGCAAAATTGAAAACTTATAACTCCAAATTTCCAATTGTAGGTTTATAGACTATACAAATATTTATACCATTGGTGTACTAAGAGACAAAGAGGCATGGGAAAGGATGTTCATTGTAACATTCTTTTTATAACAGATTTATCAAGATGTAATTCACACACCATAAAATTCATCCTTTTAAAGCATATGATTAAGTTGTTTTGAACATTTTTACAGAGGTATACAACCATTGGCACCATCTAATTTTAGAACATTTTCAACAATCCAAAAAGAAACCCTATACCCATTAGCAGTCTCTGACCATCCCCTTCCCCTACCCCCACTCTGGCAATAACCTATCTACTTTCTATCTTCAGTGTCTCTAGAAGCACGAGAGTTTTTAGTTTAAATGAAGTCTAATTTACCATTTTTTCTTTTGCTGTTTGTGCTTTTGGTATCAGAACTGAGAAACTGTTGCCTAATCTAACTTCACAGATATTTAAACCTATTTTCTTCTAAGAGTTTTATGGTTTTATGTCTTTTATTTAGGCCTTTAATCCATTTTGAGTTAATTTTAATATATGGTATGAGTTAGAGGTCTAACTTTACTTTTTTTACATCTGGATATCCACTTGTCCCAGTACCATTTGTTAAAAAATAGTATTCTTTTCCCCATTAAATTGCCTTCACATCATCTTTGTCAAAAATAAGTTGACTAAAATGGTGAAGGTTTATTTCTGAATTCAATTCAATCCCACAGATCTATGTTTATCGTATGCCAGTACTATACTGTCTTGATTATTATAGCTTTACAGTAAAGTTTGACAACAGGAAGTGTGAATCCTTCAACATTTTTTCTCCTTTTTCAAGATTGTCTTAGCCATCCTTGGTTCCTTGAATTTCTATATGCATTTTAAGATCAGCTTATCAATGACTACAATAAATGCAGGTGGGATTTTGGTAAGGACTGCGTCAAATCTGTAGATTCATTTGGAGAATATTGCCATCTTAATGATATTAAGTTCTGATCCATGAAAAATGGAGTATCTTTCCATTTATTTTTCTTTAATTTCTTTCAACATTGTTTTATTGTTATTGTGTGCAAGTTTGCACTTTTTTTGTTAAATTTGTAGCAAATAGTTTATTCTTTTTTATGTGATTCTGAAGAAAATTTTTTCTTAATTCCATTTTTGGAATTTCATTGCTAGTGTATAGAAATACAATTGATTTTTGTATATTGATAATATACTCAAAAATTTGCTGAACTTGTTTATTAGTTCCAATATTTTTTGTGACTTTATTAGATTTTGTCATCTATGAATGGTGATAGTCTTCTTTTTTTCAAATTCAGACACTTTTATTTCTTTTTCTTACCTAATTTCCCTGGTTAGAACCTTTAGTACAATGTTGACATTACAGATGTAGTAGATGTAGTGAGATTATTTAGTCTTTCACCAGTATGTATGATGTCACCTGTGGGTTTTTCATAGATTCCCTTTATCACATTGAAGAAATTTCTATTTTTAGTTTGTTGAATGGTTTTATCATGAAAGGGTGTTAAGTTATGTCAGATGTTTTATCTGTGTATATTAAGGTGCTCATAATGCTTTTTTCCTTTATTCTATTAACATGGTGTTTTGCATTAATTGATTTTTGGGTACTAAACCAACAATGCATTTTTGAAATAAATTGCACTTGGTCATTGCATATAATCCTTTTTTATATGTTGCTGGATTCAGTTTGCTGCTATTTTGTTTTGGATTTTCACATCTATATTTATAAGGAATATTTGTCTGTAGTTTTCTTTTATTGCAATTCCTTTTCCTGGTTTTGGTATCACAGGAATGAATTGGAAAATGTCCTGATTCTTCTTCTTTCTTTCTTTTTTTAAGATTTTATGAGGGATTGGTGTTAATTTGTCTTTAAACATTTGATAGAATTCACTGGTAAAGCCATCTGGTCCTGAGCTTTGCTTTATGGGAAGGTTTTTGATTACTAATTCAATATCTTTACTTATTATAGATCTATTCAAGTTTTTTCTAATTCTTGAATTGGTTTTGGTAGTTTGTGCCTCTCTGGGAATTTGTTCATTTCATCTGTGTTATCTAATTTGTTGGCATATATTGTTCAGAGTATTCCCCTATAATCTGTCCTATTTCTATAAGGTTGATAAGGTTGATAATGATATTTTCTCATTGCATATTTTGGTCATTTAAATCTTCTCCCTTCTGAGGCAGGAAGTATAGCTAAAACTTTGACAATCTCACTATTTTGTCAAAGAACCAACTTTTGACTTTATTTAATTTCTCTTTTTTTCTAATCTCTATTTCATTTATTTTCATCCTAATCATTATTATTTCTTCCCTTCTGCTAGTTTTGAGTTAGTTTGCTCTTCTTTTTCTATTTTCAAGGTGGAAAGTTAGTTATTGATTTGAGACTTTTCTTTTTTCTTCATATAGGCATTTACTGTTATCAGTTGAGCTGCATCCCCTAACTTCAGTATGTTATGTTTTTGTTTTTGTTCATCTCAATATGTTTTCTAATTTTCCCTGTGATTTCTTCTTTGACTTAATGGTTATGTCAGGGTGTGCTATTTAAGTTTTGTATGTTTCTGAATTTCCCAAATTTCTCAAAATTAGAAAAAAGATTTCTAATTTTATTTCCTTGTGTATGGGCAAAATACTTTGTATGATATCAGTCTTTTAGAATGTACTATAGCTTATTTTATGGTCTCATATAACCTATCTTGGAGAATGTTCCACATGCAGTTGAGAGGAAAGTGCATTCTTCTGTTCCAGGGTAGAGTGTTCTATAGATGATTCTTAAGTTTAGTTGGTTTATGGTGTTGCTCAAGTCTTCCATTTCTTGTTGTTTTTATGATTAATTGTTCCATACATTATTAAGAATGGGGTGTGGTAGTTCTCCAACTATTGTTGTTGATTGATTACTTCTCTATCCTATTCTGTCACTTTTTGCTTCATGTAATTCAGGGCTCTTTGTCTAGGTGCATATGTGTTTATGATTGTTATGTCTTCCTGATTGATTGACTCTTTTATCATTATAAAAATGTCCTTTGTCTCTAGTAACAGTTTTACTCATAAAGTTCATTTTGTCCATTATTATTAAAGTCATTTAATTTCTTTTTTGATCACTGTTTGCATGGTATATCTTTTTCTACCTTTTTACTTTTAATTTATTTAAGTCTTTGAATCTAAAGTATGTCCCTTTAGAAAGGGACATAGAAAGTAAATATTCAAATCATTATTTACAAATTCATTCTACTTGCCTTCAACTTCTCATTGCAATGTTTATCCTATTTATATTTATTTATAATATTTATTTAAATTTATTTATTTATTTATTTAGAGATATGGTCTTGCTCTGTTGCCCTGGCTAGAGTGCAATGGCACGATCATAGCTCACTCCTGGACTCAAGGGATCCTCTTACCTTAGCCTCCCAAGTAGCTGGGACTACAGGCTTACACCACCATGCCTGGCTAAATTTTCTACTTTTTGTAGAAATGGAATTTTGTTATGTTGCCCAGGCTGGTCTCACACTCCTGGGCTCAGGGATCCTCCTGCTTTGGCCTACCAGAGGTGTAGGATTACAGGAGTGAGCCACTGTGCCCAGCCTTATTTATATTTAATGTAATTATAGATATAGTAGGATTTACATCTGCCATTTTGCTATTTATTTATATGTGTCTCATATCTTTTTTGTTTCTCTATTTCTCAATTCATGTTTTATTTTGTATGTTCATGTTCAATTCATGTTTTATTTTGTATTAAATAGAAATTATCTAGTGTACCATTTTAATTTTTTTTACTATATATTTTTAAATTATTTTCTTAGTGGTTGCCCTGGGATTATAATTAAAACCTTAGCCTAAAATGATGTACGTTGAATTAATACCAAATTAGGATCAGTAGTACACAAAAACTGTGCTTCAATATAGCTTGTTCCGTCTTTTATCTTTTGTGCTATTATTGCCATACATATACATATTATATATATGTATAAATATATTAAAATTATAATCCCACCAACTTAGTTTTATAATTATTGCTTTATGCTGTTGTCTTCTAAATCTGATAGGAGAACAAAACAAAACATTTTCATACTTCCTTTTATATATACCTATGTAGTTAACTTTATTGATGTGTAGATTTGTGAGTAGATTTCTTTATTTCTGTGTAGATTTGAGTTACTGTCTAGTATCCTTTCATTTCAGCCTGAAGCAGTATCTTTAATATATTTTGTAGGACAGAGCTACTACCAACAAAAAAATTTCTACCTTTGTTTATCTGCGAATGTATAATTTTTTTCTTCATTTTTGAAGGATAGTTTTGCCAGATATAGAATTCTTGACTGGCAATCATTTTTTAAGGTTCTTTGAATATGTCATCTCATTGCCTTCTGGCCTTCATGGTTTCTGTTGACAAATCAGGTGTTAATTTTATTGATAATATCTTGTGTATGAAAAGTTGATTTTCATTTGCTTCTTTTGAGAGTCTCTCTTTGTCTTTAGAGATTCTATTTATTTTTTGAGTTTCTTTGATATGTAAATTAATGTTTTCCATCAGATTTGGGAA